GTCCCTGTCCTGGAAGTGTTTGATGGGGGACAGTGTAGAGAGAGCTTTACTCTGTATCTAACCCTGTGCTGTCCCTGTCCTGGAAGTGTTTGATGGGGGACAGTGTAGAGGCAGCTTTACTCTGTATCTAACCCTATGCTGTCCCTTTCTTGGGAGTGTTTGATGGGGACAGTGTAGAGGCAGCTTTACTCTGTATCTAACCCTATGCTGTCCCTTTCTTGGGAGTGTTTGATGGAGACAGTGTAGAGGCAGCTTTACTCTGTATCTAACCCCGTGCTGTCCCTTTCCTGGGGGTGCTTGATGGGGACAGTGTAGAGGGAGTTTTATTCTGTATCTAACCCTGTGCTGTCCCTGTCCAGAGAGTGTTTGATGGAGGATGGTGTAGAGGCAGCTTTACTCTGTATCTAACCCCATACTGTCCCTGTCCTGGGAGTGTTTGATGGGGGATGGCATAGAGGAAGCTTTACTCTGTATCTAACCCCGTGCTGTCCCTGTGTTGGGAGTGTTTGATGTGACTTTGAAGAATAAATGTGCACCTGACAATGATGCTGATAACTCAGAATGAATTTAAAACACCTAAGTTCTTTGAAATTTGGCGTCACATAGTTCCTTCTGCCTGATTGATCCCATTTGCTGTGCTTCCCTTTTCATCCTCACTGATCCCCAGTGGCCTTGACCCTTAAACTTTATTCTTTGGAAATTCAAAAGGGAAAGAAGACAGCTCAGTGTGTCTGAGGTGCTGATTGTGGTAAGCTGCCTTTCAGCTGTGGTTAAACCAGACCAATGTCTGTCACTTTCTCGTTCTCTGATGTTAACATCTGGAGCTGCTGCTCTGGGATTTCAACTGAATCCAGCCAAAGCTATTTCTGGCCCTCTAATGCACGAGGGTTTAATGAGCTTTCATTCAGCAGTGACAAATTTTGTCTCGTTGTGAGCATGCTATCGAGGAGAGTGTAGATTAACAAGTCCGTTTGAAATTTAACTTTTCAACCTTAGTTGACAGGAAATGAGTGAGAGGAATGCAGACCGAGAGCAAAGCCTGCATGTGATTAGAAGCAATTGGCATTCAAATGTAATCTTTCAGCACTTAAATTCAACCTCCTGACATTTGAATGGTTTTACAAGCATGAGACCTATGGAAATGTATTAATTTCTGCTGATAAAACCTGCTGAACATTTTCCGACAATTACAGAATCTGTCATAAATCTTGCAAGGAGGTTGCATGTTCCCCAACTTTATTGGGGTTTCTTCTGGGTTTTTACTTTCTCCTGCCATGGGTTCCGTTTCAGAATATAAAGAATAACACTGTACAGCAGGTCAAGGATGTATCCTCAGTCCCGTACTTAGCTCCCTGTACACCCACGACTGCGTTGCCAAATTCCAAACAAACGCCATATACAAGTTCGCTAACAACACCACCATAGTGGGACAGATATCTAACAACGACACGGCAAAAGGGAGATGGAGGGCTTGGTGATGTTGTGCAATGAAAACAACCTCTCTCTCAACGTCGGCAAAACTAAAGAACTGATCATTGACTTCAGAAAGAGAGGAGGAGAACACACCCCCATCTACAGCAACGGAACTGAGGTTGACAGGGTGAAGAGCATCAAGTTCCTCGGAGTGACGATAACCTACGATCTGTCCTGGACTTCCCACACAAATGCGACAGTTAAGAAGGCACAACAACGTCTCTTCTTCCTCTGGCGGCTCAGGAAATTTGCCATGTCCATAAGGTCCCTCACCAACTTCTATAGATGTACCACTGAAAACATACTGTCCGGGTGCATAACGGCCTGGTACGGCAACTGCTTTGCCCAGGACTGTGAGAAACTACAGAAGGTGGTGTGCACAGCCCAGACCATCACGGAAGCCAACCTTCCATCCATGGACTCCATTTATACGGCTCGCTGCCATGGAAAGGCAGCCAACATCATCAAAGACCCGTCCCACTCCGGTAACAATCTCCTACAGCCTCTTCCATCAGGCAGAAGGTTCAGAAACCTGAAGACACGCACCAGCAGGTTCAGGAACAGCTTCTTCCCGCCTGTTATCAGATTGATAAATGGACTCTCTAGCCTCAAATAATGCTGATCTTGTTAATGTTGATCTCGCCCAGCGCACACCCTGTGCAATGTAACCTGTTTGCATCTGTCTAAGTCTTTTAGATCTGCACATCCTTGCTTACTGTGATCTGCCTGTACTGCTCGTAAACAAAGCTTTTCACCGTATTTTGGTACACGTGAAAATAAACAAATCAATCAATCAATCAATCAATCAGCCCATTGTCAGTGAACTGTCTCTTTGAAACTAGTGATCTCATAGTTTAATGTGTTTCCCTCATCAAGCAGTCAATAGTCAGGAAACACCCATGTTTATTCTACCATCTGAAGTCTTATGTTTCATAAGATCAATGGAAAAGTCTCAAAAATGCAAAAAAGATGGAATTCTGTTCAGAATGGAGATGGAACCAGATGCCATTGTTGAACAATTTTAACTCCCTCAGTGACTTCCTTGGACTGCTCTCACTGGGCCTGGCATGCGTGCCAACTGTATTTAGACATATTCCTGTGGATTTCATCAGATGACCTCCCAAACAGATGGCTGTCCCCCATGATGCCACCACTAGTTGCCCAACAAGGCATGGTCTGCCCTCAACCAATTGGAAAACAGACAACTCACTGACCAGTTGGATGGTTTTTCACTCCCAGTCAATGTTTGCTTCCCCCATCCCCATTGTTTAATATTGAAGAAATAAGTAGAACACAATTATTTTAACATTCAATGGCATTACCACCACTGAATCCCCACTATCAACAGAAACACCACTGGACTCACCATATAAATATAGTGGCTACAAGAGCTGCTCAGAGGCTGGGAATCCTGCAGCGAATAACTCCCCTCCCGACTCCCCAAAGCCTGTCCACTATCTGCAAGGTCGAAGTCACAAGTGTGATGGAATACTCCCCACTTGCCTGGATGGGTGCAGTCCCAACAACACTCAGGAAGCTTGACACTAGATAGCCCCTTCCAAACCCACAACTATTTCCACCTGCAAGGACAAGGGCAGCAGATACATGGGAACACCACCCCCTGCAATTTTCCCTCCAAGCCACTCACCATCCTGACTTGAAAATATATCGTTGTTACTTCACTGTTTTTGGGCAAAATCCTGGAATTGCCTCCCTAAGGGCATTGTGGGTCTACCTACAGCACGTGGACTGCAGCGGTTTGAGAAGGCAGCTCACCCCCACCTTCTCAAGGGGCAACTAGGGACAGGCAATAACCGAGCTGGTGATGCCCACATCCCATGAGCCAATGAATAAGAAAATACCCCCTGGAGAGGTAGGCCACACAAGTGCCTGTGGTGCATGTGCTCACCAGATCGTAACCACATGCAGGTCACCTTGTGGTCAGATGCTTTCTTGGGTCCAGCTCCAGCAGAGTCAGTGGGGGTAAGTAACTGATGTGACCAATCCGAGAAAGCCACAGGAGAGGAAAGGCCACATCCTCAGCTTTGTCTAGTTACTGCCAAAAACACCAGGTTGAGGGACTTTGGAGCAGATCAATGAGGGAACTCTGGGCACAATCGTCCTGTCCTGCTACTCCCATTTATACAGAACCTTTCATGACCTCAGGTTCCCTTTGTCGCCCATGAAATTCCTTTGAATTGTAGTCACTGCGGCAGTTTAGGGAACATGGCAGCCTACTTTATACAGCAAGCTCCAACAAACAGTGACAACGACAATATAATCTGTTCTTGTTGTTTTGACAGAGGAATCCATTTTGGTCATGACATGCTCTTTGTCCTAGTAATGCCGTGGGATCTTTCCCATCCACCTGAGAGGGCAGACAGCTTCTCAGCTTAATGTCTCATCTGAAAGACAGCACTGTCAACAGTGCAGCACTCCCCAGTACTTCACTGTAGGCTGGTTTTAATTTGGGGAATTCAACTCACAACCTTGTAACTCAAAAGTGAGTGAATTTCCCACTGGACCACAGCTGACAGTCAATGCATACGCAGTACAATCCCACAAACTAGCAATGTTGAAATAATATAAGTAAGATGCAGGGGGGTGGAAAGGTAAGTGGTTGATGAGTGTAGATGATTAACGGGACTTAGGTATCCCTGTTGATAAGTGACTCAAGGGTAATATGCAGGTACAACAAGCTATTCGGAAGCTGTTAACTAATGAAATGTTAGTCTTTATTATAAGAGAGCTTGAGTACAGGAGTAGTGAAGTCTTGCTTCATTTGTTTAGGAGATTATTTAGACTGAACCTGGAGCACTGTGTACAGGTTTGGTCTCCTTATCACAGAAAGTGTTACAGTGCAGAAGAAGACCATTCAGCTCATCATGTCTGCACAATCTCTTTTACCCAGTGCCGGTCTCCTGTACTTTCCCCATTCCCTTGACCATTAGTTTTACCCAAATAATCACACAAAGCTTTCTTGAATGCCTCAAGTGACCAAGAATGATATTACTGCCATAGAGGGAATGCAATGAAGGTTCCTCAGACTTGATCCCAGGATAATGGGACTGTCCTATGAAGAGAAATTGGGCAAAAACTGGATCTGGATTCTCTAGAGTTTCAAAGAATGAGGCATGATCTCATTGAAAACTACAAAATATTGAAAGGGATAGAGAGGAGAGATGCAGGTCAGATGCTCCCCCTGGTGTGGGGGTTCTAGAATCAGGGGCACATTATGAAAATAAGGGGGATGCCACTTAGATCCGAGATGCGGAGAAATTGGTTTTGGACGGAAGGTTGTAAATTTTTGGAATTCTCAGGGAGCTGTGGAGTCTCCATCTTTTAGTCTGTTTAAGGTAGAGATTGATAGATTTCTGATTTCCAGTGGGGTACAGGGTAATGGGGATGGAGTGGGTAAAAGGTATTGAAGCGTTCGATCAGCCATGATTGTAATGACTGATGGGCAGGCTGGATGGGCTGAATGGCCTGCTCCTGTTCCTATGACATGGATACGGTGAGGAAGCTGGGACACACAGCTCTTTCCACTGGGCTGCCCCTCGAAGTAGCAGTCAGGGAGGCTTGGTGGAGTCAAAATCCAAGGCGGCCATCTGGATGTAAAGTCGTGGATGACTTCGGTTTTTGCCGAAATTAATCTGCAAGAAAATTCCAAGTTATGGAGACACCGATGATGAACTGATACTTCAAGAGCGCAGGGAGGGAGAAGACACTAAAAGAAACAAAAAAAAAACATTGCAAACAAGGAGCTGGGAATGCATTAGCTTTTCTTTACCTGTTTCATGTGCAATCTCCTCCAGTACCGCAGTAGCAATAGCATCGGTCTCCATTAGGTCCGTGGGGTCAGCTGAAGTACAAACCCAACGAAATGGCCCAAACCCCAGAGAGAAAATATCGCTGTAGGCCAGAAAGAGAACATTCATCACACTGTGTACCTCTTTAGTGGTCACGGAGACTTCTCAACATCAACTGAAGGACGTGCGAGATTCCAATGGGAATATTAGAACAGGAGGAAACCATTCAGCCCCTCAAGCCTATAACTTCATTCAGTTTGGGATGGGCAATAAATGCTGACCTTGTTAGTGATGCTGACATTTTGTGACTGAATAAAACAGATTAGATCAAGGTTGATCTATCACTCAACTTCATTTCTCCATCTTTGCTCCAGATCACTTGATGTCCTCACCAACAAAACTTGATCAATCTTGGTCTTGTAGACTCTATTCACCCCTGACATCCACTGCTTTCCTTTTGGGGTGAATTTCCACTGCTCTTTGGTGTGAGGAAGTGCTTCCTGACAACAGGGACAGTACAGTGGCTCAGTGGTTAGCACTGCTGCCTCACAGCACCAGGGACCTCAGTTCAATCCCAGCCTTGAGTGACTGTCTGTGGAGTTTGTACATTCTCCCTGTGTCTGCATGGGTTTCCTCTGGGTTCCTCCCATAGTCCAAAGATTAGGTTAGGTGGATTGGGCATGGTAAATGTGGGGATGGGTTGTGTTTTGGTAGATTGTTGTTTGGAGGGTCAGTGCAGACTCTTTGGGCCAAATTGCCTCTTTCTGCACCATAATGATTCTCTATGAATGGCCTGGCTTGAACTTTTAAGCTTATGCTCCCCTTGTTCTGAATGTCTCCCGTCACACCAAAGGAAATAAATTCATCCTAATTTAATCCTTTTATCCTTGGTATATCTTGGTGCCTCTCTGATGTATGGACTTCAGTGGTTCAAGTAGGCAGCTCACCACACTCTCTCTCAGAGATGCCCATATCCCACAAACAAATAAAAGATTGCGTATGACACAGCAATAACAACACATAGACAATGTAGATTTAATTGCATTCTGCGCCCTGGGCCTAACTAACATCTGGACAGTTTGTGAGGTGACACCACTTATACATTGTGGCCCCACTTGACAAATTGGTTCGCCTCTGTGGTCATGTCAGGACAGAACGAAGAGTCAAAAAAAGAAGTCGCAAAAAGGGAGGTGGCAGTGTTTGTGCCTCTGGGTTCAAATCACATTCCACACAATCCATAAGGCAAGAAGATACAGGAGCAGAATTAGGCCATTTGGTTCACCAAGTCTGCCCCACCATTTGATCATGGCTGATATATTTCTCAACTCCATTCTCCTGTCTTCTCCCTGAAATCCTTGATCCCCTTACCTATCAAGACCCTATCAATCTCTGTCTCAAATATATTCCCAGCCTTCCACAGCAATGAGTCCCACAGATTCACCAGCCTCTGGCTGAAAAAATTCCTCCTCATCTCAGTTCTTAAGAGTTGTACCTTCACTCTGAGACTGTGCCCTCGTCTCTCCTGCTCATGGAAGCATCTCCATGTCCACTCTATTCCAGGCCTCTTGGTGCTCTGTAAGTTTCAATCAGATCTCCCCTCATCCATCTAAACTCCATCAACTACAGACCAAGACTCCTCAACTGTTCCTCATATGACAAGCGCTTCATCAAAGGATCATTCTGTAAATCTCCACTGGATCCCCTCCAATGCCAGTGCATGCTTCCTTGGATATGACCCCCAAAGCTGCTCCAAATGTGGTCTGACCAGAGCCTAATACAGCCTCAGCAGTACATCTCTGCTCTTGCATTCTAGCCTTCTCAAATTGAATGCTGCTAACATCGCACTTGCCTTCTTAACTGTGAACTGAATGTGGATGTTAACCTTGAGAGAATCCTGAACTGGGACTCCGAAGTTCCTTTGTGCTTCGGATTTCCAAAGCTTTTCCTTATTCAGAAAATAGTCAGTGCCTCTACTCTTCCTACCAAAGTGTATAACCTCACACTTTCCCACAATGTATCCAATCTGCCACTTCTTTGTCCACTCCCCTAGCCTAACCAAGTCCTTCTGCAGCCTCCCCACTTCCTCAACATTACCCGCCCCTCCTCTTGTGTTCGTGTTGTCTGCAAACTGAGCAACAATGATCTCAGTTCCTTTGTTCAGACCATTAATGTATAATGTGAATAAGCTGTGTTCTAACCCCTGCAGAACTCCACTAGTCACCGGCTCCCACTGAGCAGAGATGGAAGGTTGGCTCCAACTCTCCATACATAGGTTTGGGAGATTGTGGAATCGTCCCTCTATATGGGCATTAATCTTTCCCTACTGGCTGGCATTCATATTGTCCCAGCCATACAGGGAGTGTTCTGGTGATGGTTTGTCAGACTGTGAACATTAGTCCACACTGATCGTTGTAGACAGAGTGTGTGGATCCCAAAGTTATAACCTGACAGGCAACTCATCAATCACATGCCCCCCTGTCACTTGCAATCCATTCTCCATGAGAAAACAAACACACAAAAATAAGAATCATTTGTCACAAGCTTTTTTTGAATGATACAACATAGAAAGGGCCATTCTGTCCATCAAGAATGCTTTGGCTCTTGGAAAGAGCTGTCAAATGTGTCGCTCTCCTTCTGTCTTTTCTCCATGACAGGGATTCTTTCTTTGTCAAGTATTTGTCCAATTCCATTTTGAAAACAAAAACAGAAATTGCTGCAGAAACTCAGCAGGTCTGGCAGCATCTGTGGAGAGAAAGCAGAGTTGATTGTTCTGGAAAAAAATGCCACTGGACTCAAAACATTAATTCCGTTTCTCTCTCCACAGGTGCTGCCAGACCTGCTGAGTTTCTGCAGCAATTTCTGCTTTTGTTTCAGATTTCCAGCATCTGCAGTTCGTTGTTATACTCCGTTGCAGCGTCTCTCAGGAAGTGCTTTCTGGATCACAGCAATGCGCTGTGTCAAAGATCCCCTCATGCTGCCTTTTGTATTTCAACCTTTAACTGTGTCCCTCTGGTGGCTGACCCACCTCCCACTGCATCAGCTTCTCATCAAACAAAATTAAAGAAGCAACAGATGGATTCTCAGACTGACTGGGAAAATGTCAGTGTGTTTCGAAGAGCGTGTGTACGTTTTGACATTGTTAAAAAGTGCTCATCTTGGGCAGAAGCCATTTGATTGAGGATCAAAACAAGCCAATCTTTTCTGATGCTGAATACACACTGGTGTTCATTTTAATAGGATCCAGAATGATCTGAGTGGAATTCAAGAAATCCAAGAATGAGACAAAACAACTTGATCCATCAAAATTCAATTTTCTCAATCTGAACTCTCCCAGGCTGCTGTCTGGCAACATTGTGAAGCAGCAGCCACTGCTGGGTCTAAATGTTGGAACGTAACTCCCAGATAAACACCAGCCTCACCGCGGGGAGGTGCTGGGGGTTGGCGAGGACGGGGATAAGGTGGGTAAGGGGCTGGGTGTCACGGTGGGAAGGTGAGGAGAGTGGGAGCACCAGGGTGGGGTTGGGGAAGGGCCAAACCTCAGAAAGGTGGGGTCTGACCACAAAAAGAGTGAAAGGGTGGTACCCACTTGCCCACTCGAGGCACATGCTCTTCTGGGCTTTCGTCTTGTACTATGACTGGACAGGCCTGTAGCTTTAAGATAGTCACATGACATCAGGCCATGTGATGATGCAATATAAAGGTAGACTCCCCTCCTCCCTCCAGTGCTCTGCTGTCTTATCTCTCCTCTTCCACTGCTTGAACAAAGCAACAGTGTAAACACAACTCACAATGAGCTCCAGTTGCTTCTTTTCACAAAGTGCAGACATTCCTTCTACAGTATTGGCCTAGCCAGTGATGCCCTCATCCCATGAATAAATCTAAAAAAACCAAAGTGTTATCTGAATGTATGGGAACAATGCATCCACATATAGCCTTGTAATGTATTGTCCATGTCATCAGAAAACGGTTCCCACTCTTTAAAGGCATGTTGTATCACGGCATAGATTCCAGAGCAGACAGGCAGTGTTGCTTTAAGACATTTGAGACGTTTCATGACATCACAACATGGTACAAAGGTATGGCACAGTGGCTCAGTGGTTAGCATGCTGCCTCACAGCACCAGGGGCCTGGGTTCAATTCCACCCTCGGGTGACTGTCTGTGTGGAGTTTGCATGTTCTCCTCATGCCTGCGTGGGTTTCCTCTGGGTGCTCCAGTTTCCTCCCACAGTCCAAAGACGTGCAGACTAGGTGGATTGGCCATGCTAAATTGGCCCATAGTGTCAAGGTATGCGTACATTAGATGAGTTAGCCACAGGAAATACAGGGTAGGGGAGTGGGTCGGTGTGTGATGATCTTTTGAGGGTCGTGCGGACTTGTTGGGCCGAATGGTCTGTTTCCACACTGTAGAGATTCTATGGAATCCGGATACCCCTTACCTTCAGTCAAACTCAGTGTATAATGGAGTCGGTGTAGTGCCTCTTGTCAGTCAGCAATGTGTGTGTAATATACTTGTAATAACATCAGTGAACACAAAACCCCAGCCACATATGTAGGTCTGTGATATTGCATTGGTGTTGTAAATAAATCTCAAGACATCTGTCTCATTAAGGACTCAATTCTCTGTGGGATGTGGGATGTGGGCTAACACGTAGAAAACTAGGAACTGTACAGGCCCCTATTGCTGATCTTCTCCAGCCAGCTTTTAATGGAGGCCAGGCTGAAGAGGTCTCTGAGCGGTCATTAGTTGATCATTTAAGAGTCTCAGTGAGACCAGGAGGGCTGCCCCAGACATTGCCCATCGACACCAAATTGAGGGAGATTGGGGGTGGCGCGAAGGTCATGGGAAGACAACTTGAGGAATTTTGTGAGCTCCTGTACAAGTACCCACCACCGAGGAAGGTATAACCTGCTGCACCTGAAAGGGTCTCACAACAGTCACTAAGACCTTATCAAAGTCATCAATCGTGGTTCAGGAAAATGGACCACAACCACTTTCCGAGGCAAGAAGGAACAGACAAGAAAAACTACCTGCCAGTGATGCCCATATCCTGAGGACGAATGATTAAATATCAGAAAAGCATACCCTGGCAGTGGGACTGAGAGTTGACCTCAGGTTGTTTGTAAGGTCAGCCCTGGCCCAGTGTGTGGTACTCCAGTGCCTGAGCTGGAAGATTATGGATTCACTCCAAGGACACAAGCACAGAACAACTTTTGTCATTTAAACAGGTTATGAGTCAGATGTTCGACGGTGGGATCTTGCTGTAGGCTGCAGAATTTCCTGAATTGCTAACATTTCAAAAAGCACATCAGTGACTACAAAGAGTTGGAAATGTGTGGAGGCATGGAAGCCAACAGAAATGTTCTATGACAGGATCTCAACTCACCCCATTATATGCTGGACATATGACGGGAACTTGAATTCCAGTTTTCCACCTCCAGCTTTCTCCACATCAGCACCTGTAAGAGTTTTAAGTGAAAGGAACACTTCTGAGTTCTATGTTCAAAGATCACCTGAAAGAGTGATTTTATGACTAGGATATCAAAAATAGGCTAATTCAGGTACTCAGCACAGGGATAGCATAGGGTTAGATACAGAGTAAAGCTCCCTCTACACTGTCCATATCAACTCTCCCAGGACAGGGATAGCACGAGGTTACTTACAGAGTAAAGCTTCCTCTACATTGTCCCCCATCAAACACTCCCAGGATAGGGACAGCACAGGGTTAGTTACAAAGTAAAAGTCCCTCTACACTGAGCCCCATCAAACACTCCCGGGACAGGGACGGCACAGGGTTAGATACAGAGTAAAGCTGACTCTACA